TGATATGTATTTTTATCAAACTTATAATATTTAAAATTTCTTTTAATATTCAAGACAATTAAAATTTCGTTTCATCGATATAATTAATTAAGAAAACAAACAAAAAAAAATTAAATTAACCATGCCAAAATAAATTACATATACCAAAATTTCTCCTCAGTATTATATTTCCTAAAAAAAAAGAAAAGTAAAACCTTGCAGTGCCTCAAGAATTCCAAGCCACCCTTCCACCCACCAACTCCAATCTCCGGCACCTCTTTGCCCATCAACTGCTTAACGGCCGCGGCCTTCTTCTCTCCAATAAGAACACCTGGCCCAATAACAAACCCAGTGGCCCGGCCCATAAAACTCCCCAACTCCGTCCCCACCACTTCTTCAGCCCCCAAATACTCTCTCAAGAACACCTCCACCATCACCCTCGGACTCCCTGTCACCACAAGCCTCCGCCCACAACCCGAAAACACCTTCCACGTGTCCTCTCGCAGATCCTCCACGTAGAACTTCGGCAGCACGGCCCTCGCCGCCGATTCGATGCTCGAGAGCTTAACGCCGGCGAGCGAAGCGAAGATGAGGACTCGGATTCCGGCAGACTCGGAGATGAAGCGGCGGAGGACGGCGGCGAATGGGGAGAGGAGGAGGAGAAAGAGGAGGCGGAGAACGCCGCCGGAGTCGAAGGCGAGAAGAGCGAAGTAAGGGAAGGAGGAGCGGGAGTGGATGAGTGCGCCGTCGAGGTCGGCGACGACGGTCTGGGCTTCCCGGTCGTCGGAGGAGCATTTCTCGACGGCGGGGTAGAGCGGTGGCGTTCTGTGGGCCATTTGTGGAGTTTTTGTTTGGGTGGGCATGTTTATTTATATGGGCTTTTATAGAAGTTATGGGCCTAGTTAAATAATATTTTATTTTGCCCCGAACTTAGTTTTTTTTAATTAATTTTAAGGAGTAAAGTATAGGTCTTAATTGAATAGTTATATTTGTGCAAAGCCCATTGAAAATTACATCTTTTATTATTATTATTTTTTTTTTTTCTTAAGAATGGAGAGCATGTGAAATGTTTAGAGCAAATTTTAGAAAAAATATAAGGCAAAATATTGTTATATATTTTGTTTTTACAAAACTTGGAAATACATTTTATAAATTTACCTGCCATTTGAATATAATTTATTTTATATTTTTTTTTATTTCTAATAAGTGAAAAACAAGTTAATGTTTAAAATACCAATATCTTATATAAAAATTGAATTATTTTATTAAAAAAGGAGGCAATGACATATGTTCTATCAAATATCTTTCAATTTTCTTATTTTAAGAAAGCAATTTCATAAATTCATCTTCATCTACTTTTCTCTTACAAAAATATTTTAAATTCGTTATTTATAAAGCATTTCCCTCAACAAAGTTAATCCAAACACTATATTTTCTTTAAAAATACAATTATAATTATTTTCCTAGCTGATTTTTTCTTGATATGTTCTTTAAAAGCTTGATCTAATAACTTTGTTCTGGTACTCTATCTTTATGTTGGTTACTTAAAAATAAAAATAATATAATATGTGGTTTAAATATATGATTTCTTTGCGTGCCAGAGGATTTGTGAGAGTAGACTAATATATTATTGTCTTAGCATTGTATAAGAATTTAGCACATCCAGCCATGGGACTTAGGCAAGCTTAAATGATTCCATAATATCAATGTAGGTTACACGACTTTACCAACTCTTGAATAAAAGAAAACAAACTTACATAAGTGGGGTCTCATGACTTACGCTAGAGGAGTGGCAGCGATCGGTGTGTTGTGAAGGAAGATTGGTCGTACATGTACTATGTTTGCAAAGCTGATGTTGGCATTTTCAATAGCAAAGGCTCAACAGCAGCGGTTTGGCCAAAATGATGGTGGTGGTTGGACAACAGAAGTTTGGATTAGCGATGGCCCGACAACGATGGTCTGACAATAGTGATAGTGGCGGTTCAGTGATGGCAACGACCAAACGATGGTAGTAATAACGACATCAACTATGGAGGTTGGACAGCGGTGATCTAGTGATGACGGAGGCCAAGTGGTGATGGTCTGGTGATGTCAACGGTAGTGACCGAGCAATGATGGTTCGACAAAGGAGGTGACCGAGCCATGGGGGTTCGATGATAGTGACAGTCCAACGATGATGATTCGACTATGAATACAATGGTAGACTGATAGTGGTGGTTCGACGATGTGATTGCCAAACGGTGATTGTCCGGCGACAATGTTGGTGTTGTTCGGGCAACTGTGTTACCATGATGATAGTAGTTCGACCTTGATAGTTTGACAATGGTGAAGGTGGTTGTCAGGCATCAGTGGTTCAACAATGTAGGCGTCTGCGACGACAACTTGAAGACAGTGTTTTAATAATAGTGTGAGTAGTTAACAAGAAGTGGTGGCTTGACAGAGGCAATGGTGGGGCCAGCCAACTGTGGGTCAACAATGTCGGTGGTGGTGGTTGACTAACAATGTTCTAGTGGCGACAATGACCAGTCATCAATGGTTTGACTATAGTGATGGTGGTGGTCATACAACAGTGGTCCAACGGCGGTGACAACTATATAGAGGTGGTTTGGTGGAGGCAACAGTGGTGGTCATTGACGATAAAGCTCGGGAACCCTCAAGAGTTTGGAACTCATTTAGCTTTCTCCTTCACGTCCAGCTCACCTCCCCTAACTTTCACGAAGAGAGTGAAAGTCTATTTCTAAATTTTGAGAATGACATCCTCCCTAAAATAATGCATTTGAATCCAGACAACTTTATTAGAGGACCCAAAATAATTCATTTGATAAGATGGCATTTTAAGAGTATTTAAGTGTCTAAATAATGCCAAAATTGAACAATTTTGAGCTCGTTGGATTTGTTTCCTCAAGAAGCTCAATTTGATTATAAACTAGATTTGGCAAGTACAGTCAGATAATACTATTTATAGTAATAATTATTTTCGCAAAAGCAAGCATGTCTTTAATGCAAATTAAATGTTCTTAACGTGGAGCTTCTTCCAATAGAAAATTAGGAGGGTCTCTGGAAAAAAGGCCATTAAATTATTTGCTAATTACATCATTAAAAATTTTCTTCAATAATATCTATATATTTTATTAAAAGAAAGATGACCAAACTAACCACTGCTTTCTCTTGCGGTTGCAAAAATGTTCCATTTCTTATCAAATTTAGATTTTCACATTTATAGAAAAAGGAAAGCCTGCACACGCCTTCTAATGAAAGCATAATGATTAATTCCCATATTTTCTTTTTTGTTTTATTTCCGGACCTCCCATATTTTCGCCATTATTGCAAAAGCTTCCCTTTCTAATGGCTAGGAAATTAATTTATGCCCCTATTCTCTTTTTCTCTTCATCTTCATCTTTGTGTTTACTTTTATTATGATAGGGGTGTAAACGAGGCTCGCTCGTGTTCGGTTCGTTTATATTTCAAGCTCAAAAGGTGTGTTCGTTTTCGACTCGTTTGCTTAGCAAGCCGAACACGAGTCGTTCATGAACAAATAGTCGTTTTGACAACCCTAATCATGCAGCCATAAGATGTTACGGATTGGGACTAGATTTGAAGCATCATTTGAATCTAATTTAATAATTTTTATTCTATTTTCTTCATTAATATTTTTAATTGATTATAAATCTTTGTAGCCTTGCAATCAATTAATTTTTTTAAAAAATACTACTCATCAAAGATATATATACAATTGATTAGTAAAATTTCGAGCCACAACGAGCCGAACACGAACGATCAAATATTTGTAAACGAACAAATCTTTGTTCGTGTTCGACTCGTTAACTTAGCGAACGAGCCAAACACGAGTTTCTTAACGAACCGAACACGAGCTGTTCGCGAACAACGAGCCGTTTTGACAGTCCTAAATGAAGATGAATATCAATGAATTTTTTTTTTTCTTATTCAGAAATATCTTATTGATTTTTGTCCATATGGCATGATTTATTATGTCTGCTAAACCTAAAAAAAAATTTCTGATCTCACAAATACATTTGTCTAGGCCCACGTAGTGTTTTGTCAATAAACGTCTACAGATTAAAATATTAATGGGCCTTGGGCCACCTTACAAAATATTTTATGAAGAGGGAAATTAAATACATAGCGCTCGAAACATTGCTATTTGCGGATCTAGTACATTCTTCCATTTATTTCTCAAAATATCACTCAGATGTAAGAAAAAGCATCTAAAAATCTCAATCCATGCTTTTCATTCTCATCAAATTCTCAATGTTTTGATCGTAGCATCAAAACATCACATGATTGCTAGTTTTATAAGTAATAATGTTTCAACTGTCGTGTATCTAATTATCCCAATAAAAAAATATGTTTGTATAAAATAAAAAAGAAATGTTTAAGATAGGTCTAATATTCAAATATTTATCAAAATAATAACAATACAAATAATTATCTTATTCAATTATGGTTATAAGTGGATTAGACGTAGGGCTGCAAAAAAGTTATCGAATAACTCGTGTTCAAATCGTTCGTCATGTAAAAGAGCTGAATATGAACATATTTTTAAAATGAGATTATAAATAAGTTGAGCAAGAATAATCCTTTGCTCAACCTAAACAAAGAAATTTTATATATTATTTATAAAATAATGTATTGCATATACATTTATATATAAGTTTAAATTATGTAAACATGTAATTTTGTGACTCGAAATAAAGAAAAAAATATTTTTTTGTAATTTATTTTTATGTATTATTTTGAAATACTTAATATAACTAATATTTAAGTATTTATATCTTCATGCATGGCATTAATTTTTTTTAATATCATATAAAATAATTTTTTTGTTATTTATTTTTTATGTAAAAATTATAATAGTAAATTTAAAATGCTAGACATACAAATATATAAAATTATGTAATTATGCAATATTGTGAAAATCAAATACCGAAAGAGCTAGAATCGATAATTCAACCTGATGATTAAACTATTTTGAAATGAATAATATTTTAATTTAATGTAATTATTTTTGTAATATTTGAACAATATTTCAAATAAAAATTTTGAGATGATATGTATTTTTTTTTATTTTTAATTTACATATTTTATTACTAGTCATCCAATCAAAATCAAAATAATCCAACACATGTAAGAATATCAGAATACACTCAAAACTCTTGTACTAAAACATTGTAATTTACTATTAATCTTACATCCATCTATAAATAAGAGGATTCTTTCAATATAACTGAACTTTTGAGGCCACCTCTTGTAACCTAACGACTCACCCCTTTTCTAATCTAACTTAATATAAGTCGTGGCCTATTGATTGACGTGGTTTACTGTAAGTCCACTCAAGTCACGGATTCGATTCTTAGTGGTGCTGCGTTCCCGAATATTTAGACACATAGTTTGGATTCTATCTAGGGCATGAAAAATCAATATTTAGTATATATATATATACATTTTATTCTTCACAAGCCAAACATGTACCCAAAAGCCGATGTATCACCCCCGTGACCCTACCCCACCACACTAACTGCACAACATTTCAAACCCTCATTATTTTTAACACAAAATTACAAACCCTTCAGTTCCCAACTACCCCCATCCAGTCGCCATAATTACCTCTCCCCCCCCTCTCCCTCCCATAACCATTTCCAACCCCGCACTCCCTCAACACGCAAAAGCTCTCATCTTTTCAGCAATGGGTCTGCTCCCTCTGCTGCTGCTGCTGCTGCTCGCCGGCGCGGCGAAATCGGACTTCGCGAAAGACAGGGAGGAGTGCGCGAACACGCTGGCCGGACTGGCCACTTGTCTGACTTATGTGCAGGGGAGCTCGGCTGTGCCGACGCCTGATTGCTGCGCGGGGTTGAAGGGAGTGCTGAGCAGCAGCCCCAAGTGCTTGTGCGTGCTCATCAAGGATCGGGATAACCCTAGCCTCGGCGTTCACATTAACCTCACCCGCGCTCTTATTCTTCCTGAGACTTGCAAAGCCTCTGCTAACATTTCGCACTGCCCAGGTTTCTTTCTTTCTTTTTGTCATTCTGGGAAAATATTTACTTAGCGGAGTTGTTTATTTGGAGGGTATTGCAGGTTTATTTCGCTGTTATTGGGTTTAATATTTTCAATAATTTCACTAAATCTTCTAATGGCAGGAAAAAAAGATAGTTTTGAATCGATTGGTAGGTTATTGAAAGGTTATTAAGATGTTATTAAGTTAATATAATAATTGAGTTATTGAAAGGTTATTCGGGATGCTAAACTACTTCCCTAATCTTGTTAAATAGTGCTAGTCATTTCTGCGGTCTTCATGCAAAAATATTACTATTTTTGCATATTTTGACGCCTAACTTTTTATATTTATAAAAATGACAACTTTCCTGGGAAAAAAACTCATAAGATGCTGGAAAAAAAGTTGTCATTTTTAGTAGGATTTTTATGAAAATGTGATCAGGGGGTGTTTTGCTGCATGGATGATTTAAAGTTAGCAGGATTTTGTAAATTCGGATTTATTAAATTTACCTTTTGCTGGCTGGGTTTGTTAAATACGAATTTAACATGGATGGAAGATAGAAATCTTCATTTATTTTATTTGAAGGTTAAAATTGAATAAGTTTCTTATATAGAAGTGTTTATATGTCAGAACTACTGAACCTGCCTCCGAACTCGCCGGATGCACAAGTCTTCAAGAATTTGACGGCGGGCAGCACTTTTTTTTTTTTTTTTTTTCCTCTTTTTTTTTTTTTTTCCTTTTTATCTCAACCGTCTGTTTATTGAGGAGAAAAATTTGCATACATCAGAGGTTATTCAGAGGTTATTCAGAGGGTATTGAGGGGTTATATCCGCTTTATATCTCATGTAAAATTTATGTAACATATCTATAAACCAGAATATCCTCTGAATAACATATGAATAACATACGATTATCAAATTTTACTCCTCAAAGAGTTTGTTGGCTTTAAATAGATTATTGGCTTTGATTTTTTTTTTCTACTTTTGGGCGGAATCTAATCTCTTATTTTTTATCTTCATTTACTTATATGGCAGAAATTCCTATGTATTTGATGTTAGATATATAAATACATATGAATTGAATGGCATGCAGAATAGTACGTATAAATTGAATGATATATAAAAATTATCTTTTTTAAAGTTACATCCATCTCAAAAGAGACCCTAAGCCGAGGGAAAATATTTGTGTACATAAGACGTAAACAGCGCTGCGTACGTCCAGTTGTTATTCAGGGGGTACAGGTGAGTTATATTGGGGTTATACCCCTCTGTAACCTCCCTGTAACCTCTTTGTAAACTATCTGTAATCTACAAATGAGTTCCGTTTTTCTGTAGTTTCATGAGTACAAATAAGTTTCACGGAGGTAGCAAGGGAGTTACACGGAGTTTACAAGAGGGTATAATCTGGATATAACCCCCCTGTACTCCCTGAATAACCTCTGACGTACCCGGGAGTGCGAATTGTGCAAAAGGCCACCTTAAGGCTCAGGAATGTCCTATAGAGAATCCCTTTTGGGTTTCCTCATGTTGGTTTAATCTTTATTTCCCAAGCGGAGGGGGTGTGCATGATTTGTAAATTATCACTTCATAAAAAAAATAATTTATAAATTTATGGGATAATTTAATTTATTAAAAACGTATATCTATCTTGTTATTATTAAATCTGTTATTTTTTAAAATTGTGACAGCGAAGGGCAGCTCAGCTGGCGATAAGGGAAGTGGAACCTCCAATAGCAATGAAAGCAGCCATGGAAGAAGGTTGGTGGGAGTGCAGCAGCAGCATTCATTTGTCGCTCTATTGCTCCTTCCCATGTTTTTCACAATAACTTAAAGATATTATTGCATCGGCATAGCTTTTATATATATATATATATATATATATATATATATGCTCAAATAAAAGAAAAGTTTGATGAGCTATGCTGATGTAATAATTTGATTTATTATTTTAATTTCATATTTATCTTTCTACCAAGTTGATGGGATAATGAATGGTGCGAAGGTAAGGTGGAGACAAGTGGGGTATGGTGATTTTGTTCGAGGTATATCAATTTGTCTGTCTTTTGCAGCTGCTGTTTTTGAAGGATCATAAATGCCTTGTTCTTCCCTTTTTTTTTTTCTCTTCTTAATTTGGCATCTGCACTTGGGTTCGCTTTGAATTTTAATTTTATCAAATTTTATTAAATATGAGCTCCAAGCTTTATTATAAAAAAATAATATTAATTTAAAATAGTATTATAATAAAATGGAATAAATAGATTGAATAATTATGAGGAAATAATAATAATTTATTTAATATAAAATATATAATTTTTTTTAAAACGTTTTTATTACTTTATGATTTAAGATTTTAAATTTAATATATTTTAAATATGTTTTATATTAATATTTTTTTTAAACTAGTCTCTAAATAAGTTTTAGGTTAACTTGAGCTTTGTTTTTAACTCGAGTTTTGTTTACGAGCTTTCTATCGAGCCAAAGTACGAGCTGGCTAACCAATCGGCTTGACCCACCTTAATTTAGGCTTTTCTCATATTTAAAAAAATAATGTGCGGCATAATGGTTGAAAGTATAATATTAGAAAAAAAAATACCCGGTAAGTGTAATTTTGTAGTTCAGATAAGGATAGGCTAGATTCAAGGTTAATAATTGAAACTGCTTATTTAGACAATCACTTATTTTAATTTTTCATGTATATTATCATACCATAGTTAAGCATAATAATATTTTTGATCCAATATAAATGATTTGGTTGATATAAATATAAAATAATAAAATTTAGATGTTAAATATTATAAAATTTGTCTTAATATTCACCTTCCAAAATATTAAAAAAAAAAGTAATTGTGATCATTTTTTTGTCAACTGATCAGGGGTGTAAGTCTGGCCTAATAAGTGGCCTGTGAATTGAGTTCGATGACCCGACAAGCCAAGCTCAAACTAAGCCTCGACTCATCAGCCAGCTCAAGCTCGGCTTGATAACTGACTCGTGAGCTGAGCTTAATAAGCCAATGTCTAACTCAACCTAATCTCAACTCAATTCGTTAGCTTATGAGCTAGTTCATTAAAAAAAATATCAATATAAAATACACTCAAAATATATCAAATGTGATGAATCCTACCTTAACAATAATAAAAATATTTATAAATTAATATTTTATATTTCAAATCAAATGATGTCCTATTATTTATTTAATATATGTTCATTATATTTATCATTTTATTATAACACTAACTTACATTAATAATATTTCTCTTTAATAATAAACAATCCAGCTCGTGAACCATCTCAAACTAGAGTTTAATATAATTAATCAAGCTCAAGCGAAGGGTGCCTAAGTCTACCTGTACACCGTGAAAAAATAAAAAGATGCATTTCAATTGTCCTGGTCGGACATCTTGTGTGCGGTGTCGGTACGCAATAATACTCCTATAATTGATACCATAATAAGTCAGTTTGAGTCTATTTCAAAAATTAATATGATTACCCTTCATCTGAATAAAGACAGGCACAACAAAACTATGGGCCTTAAACTTTCAATATATTGCATGCAATTACTAAATTAGCTATTGCCTTTGCCAAACCATAATTTTAACAAAAAATTAGCAATTACCAAATTAGCTATTGCTCCAACAAGAAAGTAGAAGACTGTAGTCATCACGCCTGAAAAGCATTCATTAAAAGAAATACCTGAAAAGTACTCATTAAAGACTTAACCAACCATTTTTTGGGCAGTTTTCAATCGCAGTCATCACGCCTATGGGGAAATTGCCAAAGGAGTCATTTCCATATTTACATATATACCACGAAATTCTTATGCATTCACAAGTCTAACACTGCACTTCAAACTTATTACATACATAACGCTCAAATTTTTAAATATCATATCAAAAATATCATTATTACTAACATTTTAAAAGAGAAATGCACCTTTATGCAATGGGTTATGATACCAAAATGTTGCAAACATAAACAACAAACTTCAGGTGTTATGTTCAAAATTCCCTTAGAATATATAGTCAAGTATAAGACAGAGAGACTTGATAAAAAGGAAGAAGATCATGATGGCAGATTCTGCACTCTTAGATGCTTATATTTTTGCTCAGCATTAGCAGAATTGGCGCACTCTGTCAATCCTCTGGTTAAAAGCATCTTCAAGATTTCGACCCCCTCTTCCAAGGCGGCATCAATCTGCATCAGTAAAAAGTATTTTTAAGGATCGAAGAACACTTTCGAATGCTCGTCATCGTGTGTGCGTGTCGATATAAGAAATAAAATGAGGATTTATATAGACGCCCTTGAATTCTTAGGATTTTATACATTTAACATCTGAGTCTTCTTTCTTCTATAATGCTCTAGTCTTTAAATAAAGAACAAAAATATCTCTAATATTAACTTTTTTAAAGTGGAATATACCTTTTCATGTGTATGTTTTGATATGATTTAGAAGCTAGAATGCCGTATAAATAGAAAAAAATTAAGAGTTAGATTTGTAAACACTAAAGCATTCTATAATATGTATGTTCCCCTGCAATACATATAATGAATGGTGATTTAAATATATGGCCTACTCATTTTGATCAAATTATGTTATTAAAGCCCATGAGAATTATATAAAATGTGTTTAGACTATTATCAGACTGAATTTAGAAATTCGAAAATTAATCTTTCTTTCTAATGCTTTGGTGTTTCAGCTTGATGTCAAAATATCATTGTTGAAAGTTTATGTAGATATAGGTTATGCCAAAGAATTTAGTAGTGCAAAATAAATATTTTTGCATAAATCCATGTTTTCAATTTTCTCATCCTTCAGGCAATGTACAGCCTACTCATTTAAAAAACACTATTAAGCAAGTTTTTAGCAAGGTTAAGGGATTTTGCTAAATTCATCTAAACTTGAAGATGTTCAAATGACCATTATCTACACCTGAAAAAGAAAATTATATGTACAATGAACCTAATTAAGCTAGATGTATATGTAAACTTAAAATACAAATCTAACCTTGCATCAAAATGCGTGCCTCTATTTGGATCAAAAGAACAATCTAAATTCAATTTCATCTTGAAAATTCAAAAGCTCATAACTACAAAAAATTGCTATACCCAAAACAATAGCCAAGCTTGGACTGTAATGAACTCATCAGATAACTCGTTCACAAAACTATTTTTTAGAAGAATTTCATTTTGCTACTTTTCTCCACCATACAATAAATCTTCATTCTAAATTACAATGGCAATTTGTCGCTATTTACTATAACGAAAAATGATCACAATTAACCTAAAGTAATTTATTAAGTCAACAAATAATCAAATGACCCACTTCTTATTCTTGAGAGAAAATCTGAGAAACTGGATTCTGAATTGGCATACTAATGATTTTTCTTATATACTAAATCCACCTGTCAAAAGCGCTAGAGACACACTTATTGAGCGAAATAAGCCACAAAAATTTAACCTTTCATAAAACTATCGCATTTCTATCCTAAAGAAGACTTTTACGGGTAATAAAATGATAATCTTTACATTAAAATATATTTAGAAATAATTATTTTTTTGAGGTTTTGTTGCATTCCATGCTCCAAAATGTTATTCAATAGATGGTCTTATACAATGTATCCAAAACAAAAAACTAAATAATTAAATAATAAAGTTTTAAACATGCAGCATATTTCATTGCATCATCTTTAGATCATATACATGAGTTGTGTTGACCAAAGGAATGAACTTATCAGATATAAAGAAAGTTTAAAGGTATAATGACTGCTCATTACACTACTCTTAAGTTACAATGAAGAATATTGAATCATTTATTAAAGACTTCCAACGTGCTTTATCATTCCAAATACATCATACAGCCTGCTAGAGCCCGAATATTTCATTAAAATGTTATACAGCTGGGAACTCAGGTATGTACTTGCGTTGTTTGTTGAAATAGCTATCCTTTTATAGCTTAGCAATGTTATCTAACCGAGCTTACAATATTATTATTATTATTTTCTTTTTTGTTTTTTTGGGAAGGTTACAATATTATTTGTTGGTGTTTGTATAAGTGGGCATTTCGTTTTTTCAAAAATTACAACACTATTATTCCTTGCATATCTTCTTCTGCATGAGATTCATAAATGTTCCACATACTTTGCGAAGTAGCGTCTGCCATTTGATGATCCTGATTGACAAGTTATTTTTCCTAGAGCTAGATAATCTTCTGATGGTGCCAACTGCATTCTATGGAATTGAGTGTTTGGCATAATTTTCTTTTTATCTAAGGTTAGTGTTTTCACTTCCAACCTTAATCTTCTTTTCAGATTCTCCTTCTATTCACAATGTATGAGTTCTTTGACTTCCCTTTAGAAGTCGACCATGAATAATGGTGGAAACTAGACCAAGGGAGAGAGCTAGGAATTCCAAGCATCATATCATTTAAATAGGAAAAATTATCTTAGAATTTATGCAGTGAGAGAGGATCATTGAATTTGTGCAAGGCTCAATCAACAATGGATTTGAAAAGATTCAAATTCAAATTTTAAGCAGAGAAAATCTACCTTCTCTCAATGAAATATTCTCTCACGTACAGGCTAAAGAAAGAAGAAGGATGGTGATGATCAATGATCAAAACTTCAAAATATCCATCACGATAACTTTTTAATCTCAAAGTAAAAGACTTCAATCATAGAAACTTCTCTAAAATAAGGATAAAAACCTCTAAAATAAAGATAAAAACCTTCTTCCAAAGGCAACTTCTGCAAAATGAAAGAGCGTACCAAAAACAAATATTAGAAACTCCATAAAAAACCTAATGGTTATGGGCGGAATAAACTCAAAAATAAAAAAAGGACACACCTATCTAATGACTTCAAAAGAACTTAAAAATTTTGACAAATTAAGAAAATCATCAAGATCTTGCTCTTTTGCTCAGATTGATATGATTTTAATTTCATATGTTTTTAGCACCTTTAATAATTCTTCCATTTCATGAATCATAGATTTAAGGGTCACTGATCATATCATAAACTTTACCAAACATGTTTCAAACTTACAAACCCTATCCCAACAAATGGAAAAACAAAATTACATATGAATCTTCAACAACTGCCATAATCAATTGTCACGCTCTTTCACCTCTTACACCATTGATATTATCTAGACACATTATTATAGATTAAGGCACCCATCTTTTCAAAAACTTCAGTATATGTTCCCTTCTCATTTAATAAATACAAGTACCAAAAAATTCATTGTGAAACTTGTGAAATTGTTAAATATCAGCGTGTTCCCTATCTTAAAATAAATCAAGATTCTTAGGCATTTTATGTTGATTTATTTTGATATCCGGGGACTCTCTAAAATCCCCAATATCTTTGGAGCTATTAGTTTTGTTAAATTTATTGATGATTTCACTCGAATGATTAAGTATATTAAATCAAACAAAACTCAATGTTATACTCAATGTCATGATAAGAAAATCATTTTAACTCTAACATTAAATTGTTTTGTATTGATAATGCCTGTGATGATTTTAATCACACATTATCATTATTCTTTCAGAAAAATGGTATGATCTACTATTCTTCTTGCCATGTTAGTCCCCAATAAAATTGAGTAATAAAAAAAAATCACCATATTTCTGAGGTAATTGGGACACTTTTCAAAATCAAATATGAGAAATTATTCTAACACCATATATTTATTCAATAGAATGCACTCCAAAGTAATTGATTCCAAATATCCTCTAAATTATTCATAATTTTTTTCTACAAATAGCGTTTCAATAATCCATCCTAAGATTTTTGGATGCATATGTTCATACCCATAAATAAAATTGAGAAAGCTTGATTTAAGAAATCTTTATTGTTTATTCATCAAATATTTTTTCATACAAAAGGGGCATATATGATATCATCAACAACAAAAAAATTTCACTTCAATGAATATCAGTTTTTAAGAAACTCAAAGTTTCTTCCCTTAAACTCATTTTGAGAGAAAGAATTCCCAATTTGAAGATAAATTTGATTTTATTTTTCATCTATATATTATTGAAATCCAAAGTATTACAAATACAAGTCTCATATCAAATATACCCCTTCAGGAGTATACAAAATGGAACAAGCCTAACATGATGCTAACAGGTCTAAAAGTCTAAACCGTAACCAAGTAACATTGATCAACCCTCTATTAATCATTTATATCAAATCTCATAGTTTAAATTTATACATAAATTTTCTCCCATTCAGAAAGCATTTCTAACTAATATCAACATCAATCCCATTTACATCATACAAATTTTATTTGAGGCACTTGAAAATAAAAATTGAAAGAAGACCATGACAGGAGAGATAAATGTCATCCAAAAAAATTAAACCTGAGAAATCATTGAATTATAAAAAAAGTATATGAAGCAAATAAATTTTTATGGTCAAACACAAAATAGGTGAAAGCCTAGAAATGTACCCAACATAATTGGTAGTCAAAATATATACTCAATCATTTGAGATTTGAGTATCAAGAAATCGTTGCTATTGTTGCAAAATGAAAACTATTTGAATTCTAATATCACTAGCAATAAATCATAGGCGACTTATAAAACAATATGATTTTAAAAAATATTTTCTCATATTGAAACATCAAAAAAGAGGTCTATATGGATCTATTATCAAGATTTGATAGCTCCTTAAGAAAGAATTATGTAAATAAAAAAAAACCTTAGATTGAAACAATCACCTAAAGCTTTATTTGGCGGATTTACAGAGGTTATAAATAGAGCTTAATATAAACAAAGCCCAAGAGATCATACTCTTTTTATAAAGCACTCTCACGATAGTAAAATCTCAATTTTTTTCATGGATGTTAACGATATTAATTATTACAAAAATAATAACCAGAAGGAAAAAAATCTAAAAAAAAAATGCTTGTTAAGGACTTAAAAATTAAAGAGCTAGAAAAATTCAAATACTTGTTGAAAATAAAATCTAAATAAGGTATATTTCTCACTCAACAAAAATATATTATTAACTTACTCAAAGAAATTAAGATAATTAAGTGCAAGCCTCTATGAACCAATACAAAAATTTAACATTGATAAAAAAACGAACTGATGTAGATACAAGACAATATCAAATGTTACTAGGAAAACTAATCGACCAAGCTCACAATAGTGGTAACATCACATTTATAATAAGTTTAGTGAGTCAGTTCATACACAAACCTGAATAGTCAAACCTTTAAGCTACCTATAGAATTATCAGATGATTAAAACAAGCTAAAAAAAATGAATTTTATACTAAGGGTATGATACCCTACAAATTAAATGAAACAAAAATGCGGATTATACTGAATCACCGGTAGATAGTAAATCTACTTCAAGATATTGTATATTTTTAGGAAGGACTCTCGTAACTTGGAGAAGCAATAAATAATTTGAGGTTTCAAAATAAGTGTCTAAGCTTAGTTAAAAGTCATTGCCCAAGTAATCTGTGAGCTTCCATGAATTAAAAATATAATAACTAATTTAAAAATTAAATGAAAAGAGTCTATAAAAATATAATACGATAATAAATTGAATATCAATATTGCATACAATCTAATACAATAATATCATACCAAGCATCTTGAGATTTATAATCAATTCATAAAAGAAAAACTGTAGAGTGACCTGATTTGCACTTTTTGTATGCCTACATGGAATCAACTAAAACGCCATAGCTATCAACGAACTCCGCAATCCAACATTCAAAAATATTATAGGCAAACTTGAAAGTGTAGAGGGAGTGTTAAATTTCTCTCTCATTTGAAAAGCGCATACCCACTCTCCAATCATAGTAAATAGTTTAATGCACATGGATAAAAATCTCCTACATATGGATCGATTTTTCTATGACCAATGAATTATAATCCGTGCACTTCTCTATACATTCGTCGGTCAGCCCTTCATGTTTTTCTCCTTTTTTTAATTTATTTTTATTTTGTAATGCCTCTTAAAGAAGTATATATACTTTCCCTCTTATAAAAAAAGAATAATACAAATTCTTGAAAGATTTCTCCATTATTTTATTTCCTAATGTGCTGCCGAAGAAAAAAAGGATTTTCAAATTTCAATAATATATTTGATGGTTTTCTTAAAATACTTGACTAATAAATTTAAGCCGTACAAGACCCAGAAGATTCTAATCATTTGCTTATGTTGCATTATTCTGTAAGTCGTTTGAACTCTGAATATCTTTATGTTGTCATGCATTTGCTATCTAAGTTTGTTATTGAGAACTAGTTATACAAATAAAACTTTCCAAGATAAATTTAACTTCTTTGATGAATGTTGAATTAAATTTTCTGCCGTGGATATGAATTCCTTTGATTTCAGAAATCATGCTCGAAAAGAACAGATTTAATAATGTCTTCCTTGGCAGTTTGAACTCCTTTTGTTATTTTCATCTCACTTCTTTTCCTCTTAAACTCATCCCTTAGCTATCATTCTATTCATATTAATTTCACAAGCCATCCATATGGCCTTGCGTACCACTACGCTGCACCACCCTATATCAACTCATGGAAGAAAAATTATAAAAAATGTCTTAAGCTCTGCATCATACGAAAATAAGATAGAACAATGAAATACATGCAGAATGAAGCTAGTTTTCAGTAGTGCTCACCCTCACACGGGCAGTTTTGTTAAAATTTTGCAGCAGAAACGCTTTGGGATCCATTTGTCCGGGTGGCCTTCCAATGCCTTGAACAAGTTCACCAAATGATCAGTGTTTTCAAATTAATTATTTTTCCAAGCACAAAGGGGTAGGTCTAAGAACTTGATACCAACCAACTCGTAGCCGGCAAAACTCCCTGTTCCCATGAAAATGATAGATGACGTTCTTCAGCCTGACGACAAAAATGTAGTGTAAAATTGCTTTCCGATAGAAAGTATAAAAAAAAGAAAAAAATCAAGCTTCTAATAATTAAATTGAAAATTTTGTAGAAACATGGACCGAATTTCCTTGCATCGAATATTTCATGTTCCCAATGTATAGCTTATTTTCAAATTTCTTTTTTTATTTATGTTTCTTAAAATGTTCTTGATACCAGAGTTAACTCACCTCAAGAAGATAAAACAAATTTTATTATGCAAAAGATAACTCAGATACATTCAGGTCTCCAACAATAATAAAATGAGACTAGCAATAACGAAGGAAGGTCGGGAAGGTCGACAACAAGGCGGTTGCTGCAGAAGACAATGCAGGTGGTGGCGGCGACAAAGAGAGCAGCAAATGCGAGTGGCTACTGGAGGGTACTGAGGCGACCGGTGGGCTGTTGGGAAAGGCCGAACGGAACTGTCGGAAGGTGGCCAACAACATAGGCAGCTGGTGGGAGGATCCGAATGGGCTGCTGAAAGGTGGCCGACAAGACAAGCGGCTACTGGAAGGGGCCGGACAAGCCACCGGAAGGGGCTGTTGAGGGTAGACAACGGATATAAGGGAATCGACGACCTCCTGTAATTGCAGATAGGGAGCTCCGACAACCTAGAATCGTGGGGATGGAGTCTGCAGCCTTATCAAGTTGCAGATAGGGAGCTGTGGTAACCTGGAGTCGCAGGAAAGGTGTTTGCGATCTTCTGGTGGTCGCAGGCAGGAATCGACAAAAACCTGGAGTCATGAAGAGGAAATCTGCAACCTTTTGGAGTAGTTGATGGGGATTTGCGGCAACCTAGAGTCGAGGGAAGTGAACTACTAAGGTTTGGAGTCGCTGGAGAGAGCCAGTGGGCGTAGGACAGTGGAGACACAACATAGATAATCACTACCTCAGACGAGTTATAGTCGGAGCAGCTTCTCATCATCAGATACAACCCTCAGAGAGAAAAACACCGATGACATACTCTAAATTCAGAAACAAATCAACAACTACTTGACCTATGCAAACACCACACCTATATATAATGGGGATTAGTAACTAGAGATTAGAATAAGAAAAAAACAGTTAAGGAAGAAATAAAAAAGACATGGAGTAGAATGGGAGAGTAATAGAATATGGAAAGGGGGATAGGAGAGAACAAAGGAAAGGGAAGAGCTGGTGCGATAAATCCCTCCCGTGCCTGATATGGGTGCGGACAATCTGATTTCGAGCCGATCCAGAGCCAGCTTGAAATCAGATCAAAATTTTTTTAACCGAAACGAAATCGGATTGTGGATCGATCCTACTAAATTTTGATCCGATACAGTGTGGATCGATATGATTTTTGAGCCGGTTTGAATGCCATTTTTGGCTTGTGAACCATATCGGTCCGGATCGAAACCCTTGGCCCGCCTGGTTAGCCCACCAGTAAAAAATGCATTTTTTTTATGAAAAGAGCGGATTCAAAGCCTTGCCACTTCATTCAAGCAAAAAAATCCATCACCAACAGAGCTGGCAATGCGTTCTACACGTAAAACTAAAAGATTGTGCTAAACATGTAAATACATAAGAATTTATTTCGATCCCGATATGAGCCGAGGATGGAATGAAATCAGATCAAAATAAATTCAATCCATTAATTTGGCTCGTAGCTCAGCTCGAACGATTCAATCTGCTTTCGTTTCAATTTCGATTCAAGCTAAAATTTGATATGATTTTCGAGCGATTTACGAACTTCAATCCAATTTCACAGCACTACTTCCTGAGAGCTGGCCGGTCTAGCAAAGCTGTACTGAACTCCCGTGGGGTTGGTTCAGCCGACTCCATTCAGAGCCTTGCATCAGTCTTCCAGGGTCGGAGGAGCTTCAACCTAATTCGTCGAAGCATCTAGGCCTGGGTCCTCGAAGTATGATGTCAGGTCCGCAACATTGAATGTGGCCAAAACGTTATGGTCCCTTGGCAGGTCAATCTTATATGTGTTGTCATTTAGTTTCTAAAGTATCCTGAAAGATCCATCTGCTTGGCTTAAGCATCTTGAATGCTCTCATATGAAATATTTCCTTCTTTAGCCAAATCTACAACTGGTCTACGTGGAACGTCACCTTCTTCCTACACTTATTTGTTTGTACCTAATATCTGCGGTTTTGCTTAGCAATATCCTTGCCAGCTTCTTCGTGGAGCTTTTGAATCTTGTGAACCCGCTCCGTAGCACCTTCGCTGACCTCTAACGTCGATAAGAGTGGTACCAACTCAAGTGGTGTGAGTGGATTGCACCCGTATACAATCTCGAAAGGGGTGCGTCTTGTAGTCTGACGTACAAATCTGTGTAGGCGAACTCGATCTAAGTCATAATGAGATCCCACTGCTCAATACTCTTCCCCATGAAGTATCTCAAGAGGTTTCCTAGGCTCCTATTTACTACGTCGATATAAACGTTTGTTTGTGGATGAGCTGCTGAACTGATTTAGAGCTTGGTGCCTATCTTCCCCCACAAATTCCTCTAGAAGTGGCTCTAAAATTTGATGGATGTGATGGTCCGCGGAATCCCGTGCAACCTTACGATCTCCCGCAAGTATAAATCAGCAATATGAGATGTGTCCAGTGTCTGGTAGCAGAGCACGAAATGTGTCATCTTCAATAATCTATCCATCATAATCATCACAGAGTCCTCGTTTCTCTGTCCCTAAGAGGCCCACCATGAAGTCCATGCTAACATCCATCCACGGTGCCTCTGATACTGATACTGGTGTGTCCAAGCCTGCATTCAACCCTATCGTCTTTTGTCAAATGATAATTCTTGCACTGCCTGACACACCGCTCCACATCATTCGTTGTTCGGGGCCAAAAGAAATGCTCTCTTGAGGGCGAACCTTGTCCCCGTTGAAATGCCCTGCAATCTGCTATTGTGGCTCTGCTAGACCACGAACTCTCTTAGCGAGCACCCGAGAATGCACAAACTGACTATGGTGGAACAAGTATCCATCAATTCGGTAATACTGCTTATTGGCTTCTCCTGACATTGCTCCCGGATGTCCTTGAAGTCTTCATCTGGCTTCATAGGAATGCCTTACGAACTCAGAGCCCACAACTAGAGCTTGCATGAATGTAATCAACATATCTCGAATGCTTAGTGCGTCTGCTACGCAGTTTTGTCTCCTTAACTTGTGCTTAAGAACGAACTGGAACGTGGCTAGGAACTCTAACCTGGTGGCATGTCGACCCTTCAGTTTGCTTTGGCTGTCGAGAAATTTTAAGGCTACATGATCTGTAAACTGGTGAACTCACTCGTCAGCAGGTAATGACTCCAGTATTCCAGAGCTCTCATATTGACATAGAACTCCTTGTCGTAATCGAGTACTTCCTCCTCAAATCATTTAGTTTCTCACTGAAGAAAACGATGGGGTGTCCTCCCTGAATCAATATTGCCCCTATCCCCACACCAAATGCATCACATTCTATCTCGAATAGCTAGTTGATGTCTGGTAATGCTAGCACTAGCACCTGAGTCACCGTTCTTTTACTGTGTTGAAACTGGCCTGAGTTGTCGTTGTTTAAGTAAAATCCATTCCTTTCAAAAGTTCGATCAAAGGGGTGGTGATAGTTTTGAAGTTCCTGATGAATCTCCAATAGAACGATGCCAATCCTATAAATTGCCTCAGTTTAGTGAACGACTGTGGTACGGTCTAGTTGATAATAGCCTCTACCTTTGCAGGATACATCTGAATGCGTACACTAGATATGATGTAACCCATAAAACATACTTGGTTTATCATAAAGTGACATTTCTTCAGATGGGCATATAGTTGTTTGGCTCGCAATACCACAAATATTGCCTTAAGGTGATGCAAGTGTTCCTCCTCAAATCAGTTGTATACTAGAATGTTGTCAAAGTAGACCATGACAAACTTCCTAATGTAAGCCTGAAATACATGGTTCATCAATCTCATGAAAGTGTTAGGTGCGTTTGATAAGTCGAAAGGCATAACGGTCCACTTATAAAGCTTGTACCATGTTTTGAAAGCCGTTTTTCACTCCTCTCCTAACCTCATTCATATCTGATGATACCCACCGCGCAAGTTGATCATGAAAAAGATAGTGGCTTCGTGTAACTAGACATAGAGATCATCGAAATGAGGTAAGGGAAATCGGTACTTGATGGTGATCATGTTGATGACCCTGTTGTCAATGCAAATCTGCCACCCGCCCTTCTTGGGCACCATCAGGGCGGGAACAACACACAGGCTGGTGCTCTCTCCGACCAGTCACTTTGTGATGAGATCCTGCACCTATCATTGCAGCTCCTTATACTTCTCAGGTCTCAATTTGTAGGCGGGTCAGTTTGACAATACAAATCCTGTTATAAAGTCGATGACGCGCTGGATGTCTCCCAGTGATGGTAACCCTTATGGTAGACTATCAGTCATGACATCTTAAAAGTCCTGTAGTAGTGGTCGCAATGGTGCTGGTACCTCACTTTCCTCCTCTGTTCCCTCCAAGAGGATTAATGCTAGTGCCAATAGGGCATCTCTAACTGATTGCAAGAAAGTGGTTCAGGAAATCGTTGTGTCACCTCCACCTTTCATATTCTTAACTGGTAGCAAAATGATATGTTTCTTATTCTTCTTAAATGAGTAAGTATTCTGGAAGCCGTCTTGTTGAGTCTTGCGGCCGAACTATCAAGGCCTACCCAACACAATGTGACAAGCGTCCATAGCAACCACATTGCACCCTACTTGCTCCTGTAATTGATTCCTAATAGAAAAGTTAACTAGACACTGTTAATCCACACATATGTCATTTTCCTTCTTTAGCCAGGTAAGGTAATATAACTTGGGATACTTCTGAGTGTCCAATTTCAAATTCTTCAGCATTAGCGTTGACATCACATTCTCACAACTCCCATTGTTGATGATTAACTACAAACCATGCCACTGATGGTGCACTTGGTGTGAAAAACACTATGCCTCAACCAGAATTGATCCCGCTCTGGCTCA